AAAACCATTATACCCTGATTTCCCATTTTCAATGGGTTCAGGGTATAAAAACATTTTATGAAGAGTGAGTTAACTTCTAAGTTCATCAGTTCCAACCTTGTACAGGGTATCCCTTCCAATCATGTACTCCCCCACTTCCGAGCTCTTCAAGTGCGCCGTATGACTGGTTTAAAGTCTGCGAACTGTCAGCCAGGATGATGCCACAAAAATGAATCTGTCGCATGCCCTGCATACCCACTCATCCAGTCCATGAACTGTCATTGACATTGACGCACAGGGCGTACCCCCTTGTTGTGCCCCCCCCCCCCCCGCGCGAGCATTGCGAATGTGCTTCCAAGTCCACAGCCGCGAACTCCGAAAAAGAACGTTGATATATACGTCAACGACCCACCCACGTGCGTAACCCAACCCGACTGCTATGAAATTTCGTTCGATATTATTTGTTCGCGTGCTGCAGTTTTTACTGCGCAGCAAATAGAATTTCCACCTTGCCGTCAACGTATCTTGCTCCACATGCTCGCCACGCTCACGCACGCATAATCCTTGGATGTACGGAGCTCAGTTTTTCAGTGCGTAGGCGTCGCGAATTTTCCACTCCGTTGTGGCGGACATTTCGCGGCGTAAAAAATGCAAAGCTTTTTTAAAACATAATCTACGTCGATTTTTCTTTGTTTTCAGGTTCAAATCATTTCCCTTTCTCTCTTAAAGATTTTGTAAAAAAGGTTAAACTTTTTTTTTTATAAATGTTGAAGCTCTGAAGGCTTGAAGCTTGTCTAGCATAGCTTTAAAAGAAAATTATTAGCTAACTTTTTGTAGTCTATTAAACAGATTTTTATAATTGAAGCTCATCTTAGCTTGAAATTCAAATGTAAAAAAAAAAACACTTGAATTCAAATAATTTTTGCTTTATTTTTGTTTGAATTACGATTGCCAATCATTACATGTGCTTAGATATCTTTGTGTCTGAACGTATTAAGAATATTGTTTATTCTTTCCAAACTTAGGTATCTAAATACTTAGATTATTATAAAGTATGTTGAGTCAAAAGAGAAGCTTTGTTATTTTCTGAAAATTGAATCTTGAATAACAATAGGTTATATCTAAAAAAAAACATTCCAGTCTTTCCATGTGAAAAAATCATAGGTCAAACTAGTTTGAGGTATAAGTAAACTTTATCTTAATATGTGTAATTGATAGTTTCGAGATACATATTATTCTTAACGTCACAGAAGAAAAAATATAGAAAAAGTCATAACTTAATCTCAATGCAAAATGAGGCCGATTAATGTTTGACAAACATTTGAATCTATGCGAAATCGCTCAACTGCTCTGCTAAGCAGCTCTTCAGGCTTGCTCTTAGCCCCAGTCCACTGTACACAGTGGCTGCTGTAGTAGCCTTTTATGTCGGCATTAACCATTAATTCAATCTTTATCTTTATTGGCCACAAATTCAATGTCAAAGCTATTACTAGAGAAACAATGGGAGACTAGCATAAAAAGCTCATCGGCGACTCGTGCCGAGAAATCAATAGAAATTTTCTATTTTACGTCACAAGATGTCAGCTGCTTGTCCATTAACTGCACACAGTGGCGGCCATTAAAGGTGTCTCTGTGTCTTCTGCCTGACGGGGGCTGTGTGGCTCCCATTCCTAGCAGCTTAAAGCCCAAATGAAATTCATTATGCGCCACTTTTGTGACAGGCAATGCGTTTTGTTATTATTGCGCTGTCGCACTTGATGAAATTCTTAACATTGCCAACATAGTCAGGCCAAAGCGAAACGAGGACTGGCCAATAGAGTTGTTCCCTTTAGTTCAATTTTGTGAACCAGTTCAGTTAATTGGAAAGTTGTAAACTATTGTTAGCCAGGTTGCTTCAGTGCATAATTAAAGTAAATTAGTTAATTATTAGTAGCACAATTCGACGAGATATAATTGGTATATAATTCGATTATCCCATATGTTTCGCTTATCAGTAAATAAGCTTCGCAGTTCAAATGAACTTTAGTGAACTATACGACACAGCTATCTGCTCTGCTCTGCTCTGCTCTGCTCTGCTGTACACCCTCGGTTGGCGCCTGCGCCTTGGCTAAGGGCTGTAGAAGCTGAATTTGGCAGAGCTCGTTTGCCTGGCAGCTCGTCAGCTCACTGCGTCGTCTAACCCCAGCGGTTGCAGTTCACATTTGGTCCGAAGTTCGCGGCGCGCGTTTATTGGCCCACGCCTCGATTGGCCATCGATTTTGTGCAAAAGCAAACCACAAAAGGTTGTTCGTGGCAACAAATTGTGTTAAAAGTTTAAACAACAAAATATAAATAACGAAATATGACTGATTAAAATTTCAATAGAGCACTTTAAAGTTTCGACTGCTTCTTGGCAAAGTGAAATAGAACCGAGCTCTTGGGCTGTGTGAAAATTTTCGCTGTTATACAGAAGAAAGCCCCGTACATACATACATATATGATACACCTATATACATATATGCGTATATATTCACATATATATGTATATGCACACACATATATCCGAAAGCCTTACGAAAGTTACGAAAACTGATACGCGAATGTGCGCATTTGGTTATTTATTGTTTTTTGCTTTATTGCTAACAACAATTTTGGTGCTATCGATCATATTTGCCACGTCTTCGAAGCGTTCTATGATGGATAGTTTTATATTAGTTTTCAATTACACACAAGATGAGCAGCAGCAGCAGCAGCAACAACAACAACTACATCAGGAGGAGGACTTACAACAACAACAACAACATCAGCAGCAGCAACAACAATTTATCTACAAGCCGAAATTATTTTGAGTTTTATGTCCTGTTTTTTCAATTCCCGATTTAATTGGTAATTGCTTCAAAAATATCTAAGAAAATATTTTGCGAAATTCCCATCGATTCGCCAAAGAAACATTTCAAAATTCGAACTTCTACCAAAATCATTTGACATTCCTTGCTTTTATATAATATTATGATTTTGCTTAAGATTTCTGTTCTCATATTTTGCGCATTTATTTTTCTACACTAGCCTCGAATTGAATATGCCTGGCATTAGTTTCGTGTAGAGTTTTATGCTGTGTAGAGTTGTGGCTGTTCGCCATGGCGAAGGCAACATGAAAATTTATTAATAAAGGTCAAGACGACCCAGGCGAAGGATATGCTCGAGCAGAACTTTAAGTGTGTGGCTGTTTGTGTGAGTGTGTATGTATATATATGTGACCATGGTGCCTGAAACCATAAAAAAGCTAAAACATGACGCACCGTCAGATGTGAAGGATAAGCCAGGAGCTAGCTAAAGTTAAAGAAAGAAACTTAAAGAAATGTGTACTCTGTTGTTTGCTAAAAAGAGATTTGCATAATAAAATAAAAATATATATTTATTTAAATGTGAAGGTTAAAGTAGGACTTCAAGAGATTTATGTATTTTGCTGAATAAGGCTTCACATAATTAAATAAAACATTCATATTTATTTAATATAACTAGAGTTGTAAAATAGAGCTCTTTGAGGTTTCAAGATTTGTTTCGCATTATCTTTGGTTTTGTTATTATGATTTATTCTATGCAGCACATTCAAATCGCGTCAGCATAACAGCATAAATAATTATAAACATTCCACAAATATTTTGCCAATGCACTCGCTCTCGCTCTCACTCACAGTGACTCTCACTCACTCGCGCTCTCTCGCCGTCTTGCTTTCTGCTTCTGGCGTCTGCGCAATTCTCTCTTTGTAGAGTTTTTTGCAGACTTGAAGCGCAGGCTGTTGCATTTTTGTTTGAACAAAAATATAAACAAAAGTCTTGGCTCCAGGTAAACAGAGAGAAGCCCCAAGAGAAAGAGAGAAAGTGAGAGGCAGAGATTCAGAGAGAGCGAGAGCGACTTTGAGCAGCAAAATTATCGCAGCTGCGCAGAGACTCTCGTACGCGCTTCTAGGCTAACGCATTGGAAATGTTTAATGTTTCCCTTCGTGCCCTGTGTCACAATATTCTAGGACTCCACTGTGCGCGAGTTAAAGAATTTCGTTGGTCGTGAGAAAAACTGTGCGGCACTCAGCGTTGAAAATGTGCGCTAAATAAAACTGTTAAAAAAATTAAATAAAAAAATAACTGAAAACACATTAATAATTATTTATATAATAATTGTCAATAATACAAATTGTAATAAAAAAGTTAATCCAACCAACAAAATTGGTCATAATATGATCAAGTCAAAGGACTTTGCCTAAGACAAAATTCAAGTTCAAGCCAGCTTTTCGTTTGGCTGTAATCCAGAGTAAAGGTAAACACTATTACGTTAACAATTTTATTAAAAATATTCACATACATTTAATGTTATGTATGTTTTTATGGCAAGTTTTTAATTTGGGGTGTGAGCGGGTCTTTTCCTTCTTTTCGCTGATGACTCATTCGAGTGCCCGATACTCGGCTGCGCTTTTATTGGAAGTGTGGATTGTGGAATTTTTTCTAGTATGTACTCGTGTGTGTGTGTGTTTGTGTGTGTGACAGTGTGTGTGCGTGTGTTTGTGCGGGGTGTGAGGCAGCATAACTATAAGTCAGCAGGGTAGCAGGTTAGACAAAACTATTTACATAAATTCGTAAAAGCAGGAAATGAAGGAAAATGGAAAATTGCGTGAGCACAAAGAAATTGAAAATACGCAAATGCAGTTAAATCGTAAAAGTAAATAGTTTATATTAAGTTTAAAAATTAAATTCCTTAAGAGGACCACAATATTTATTAATATCTAAAACTACTGTTTAATATTTAAGGAATTTTTTAACCGTAATATTCATAATTTGCAGAGATTACAAAAAATCAAGAATATTCGCTTGCTAGTTTCTAGAATTTTGTTCAAAAACTATTTCTGAGATTTTACAATAATTATTTTTACTATAATTTAATATATTTACTAATATACTATCCTTCAACATTTTATTTTATTCAACTAATGAAGGGTAACTTTTACAATACATATATACATATAATGTAATCTAAACATGCTTTCAATTTCTACGCATAGTTTAGGCGGCTATATATAAAAGATCTTCTTGAATATTGAATAAAAATTAATATGAAGGGTAAACAAAGATTTATTTTATACATATACTCATTTATAAACAAGTAAGAAAGCTCTAGTCGAGACTGCTCGACTACGAGATCCC